TTGCAGATGGATATGCGGTTGGCCAGATTCTCCTCGGTCAGCTTGTGTGGCACCCAAACATCGAGGCGGGACACATAGCCAAGCTGTCGCAAATGCCTTTGTACGGTTCCATAACCTATTTTAAGTGTCTCCGCAATCTCTCGCACCTTTAGCGTCCGGTCTTGCTCAACCTGCCTTGATATCATTCGAATCAACCTCGGTGGGCCGACCGCTGCGGGGTCCATCTTCAAGACTCGTATCTTCGGAACGAAATTTGGCAAACCATTTCTGAGCGGCACGTTCTGTTAAGGCATCGTCCCCGTATACGCCGCATATCTTTCGGTGGGCCTCCGCAGCTCGCTTGCCTTTCTTGAAGTAATAAAGCAAAATGTGCCGAAAATGCATCTTATTCTCCGACATGTTCACAGGCGCCTGTAGCACAAACAAAACTAATGCCAATGAAACCAAATTTGACAGATGAAAAGAGCGGACTGTCACCTTTCCAGAACATATTTGGATTGCCCGATTAGGCAACCAGAACCGGAGATATTCGGAAAAAATTTGCACTACTAACAAAAACCGAACGAATATATGGTACAATCAGATCAAATGCATCTAATTCAATATCTCTAGTACATCGAAATCTAAATCCATTTTTTAATACAACTAGAACATAACAAGCGCGCGCTTCGCGCGCGCCATTAAAATTTTCATATTATTATTAATAAAAAAAAAATAAGTTGTAAATTTTTATTTACTATTAATTTTCATTTTTTTTACATCTTAAGATGGTTTGAATATAAACTAATCGACTATAAATATTCTATGAATATTGTCTTTTTTTTATCAATCATACACATATAATTGATATCTTTAGCTGCTCTAATAGAGGCTTTATAGCTATTTTTACCAGATACATATACTTTTTTTGAATGAATGAAATGTGTTTAGAGTAAACATAAAATATTAATAACCTTGGCATTTTCAAAGTCTGCTGATCACGCCATTGTTGAACACACAAAATACCAGACACATGTAATTAGTTAATTTTAACTATTTTACTAATTTAAAAACTATTATATCTTTGACATTGTTTAATATTAAAATTTTTGTCGTTTTTAAAATCATAAAAATTTACAATAAAGGTAAGTACTGTAAGTACTTTTATAAAGTACAGGAGATGTTAAGTCGATTGCTCTCATTTCTCGAAGTTTATTGTTGCCGCTTTTCCGTGATGCTGATTGGTTCTCTCGCTGTGTTTACTTCGTTTTGAGCGACTGTCATCACGGAGATCGCTCGTGTGTCATTGTTTAGTACATATATTATTATATTTTATGTTATTATTTATATATATTTAAAGAAAAAGGAATCATTTATATATTTCTTTATATACATAATTTTTAATTTGTTTATTATCACGTTGACTACCTAGATAAACTTTTAATGCTTCCCAAGAACGTACTCTTGAAAAAGCAACATAAAGTTGCCCATGATTAAAAACATCTTTTCGAAGATCTACTCCTATTTTATCAAATGTTTGACCTTGTGATTTGTTGATTGTCATAGCAAAAGCTAATTTTATTGGAAATTGTCTTCTCTTAAAAGTAAAAGGATATACATTTTCGCAATATAGTGTTATACGATTCAAAAAAACGATATCTCCTATTTTATCACCTGTTAAGATTTTACATTTTAATAAATGATCAGCAAGTTCAATGACCATTAATCTCGTGCCGTTACATAGACCTTCACTAATACTAAGATTTCTAATCAACATAATAACACAATTTGGTTTTAAACGCAATTCATAAGGTGGAAGACATGATGGGGATAAAGTATTTAGATATTCTAGCAATAAAACTTCATTAATTTCATTATTATCACAATTTTCAGTACTATCTATACTTGTATAAATTCATTCATCAAATGTGTCTAATAATTCGACAACTCGTTTGTTAATTTCATCAACGTCAATATTTCTCGCAGAAAGAATAGCACATTTTTCCATTTTACTAAATTCTTTATTTTGTATTATATCGCCATAAATATCTTGTACGATATCAGTATCAGTGGATGCGATACAACAATCAGGAAGTTGTATATTGTCATTAGAATCATTTATAAACCATCTCCTATATTTAATAGAAATTTTGCAAATTCAATTTCTTCTGGAAGAACTCGCATATTTTCTGTTAAAGAAAAATTTATAAAATATTTCCAAGTAGAACTAAATTTGATTGAAAGATTTACGATTTCACTTCGAGTACTATGTATTTTTATGGGAAGAAGTTGTCTAAAATCACCACCTAATATATTAATTTTTCCACCAAAGGGTAAATCATTATTCATGATATCACGTAATGTACGATCCATAATTTCTAAAGCATATCGTGGTGCCATTGGTGCTTCATCCCAAATAAAAATATCTGTTTCTTTCAAATAATGAGCTTCCTTGGATTGGATTTTAATATTAGATGATGAATCAATAAATAATGGAACTGGTAATCCAAATGTTATGAACTGTTCTTCCTCCTGGCAATAACGTTGCTGCAATGCCCGTAAAAGCCATTGTACAAATATGTTTATTTCGAATTTTGGCTAAATGATAAATAGTCGTATATATAAATGTTTTACCGGAACCACCTGAACCATCAATATAAATACAATTATTACTACGATCATTAGTATCTAATTTATTCAATATAAAATTTACTATTTCTTTTTGCTTATTATTTAATTGTTCATATTGTCTATTACCAATTTCCATATTTTCTTCTCTCTCTCTCAAGTGTCATATATATTATAGTTATTCTCTTCATTATTTTCTATTAATTGTTCCATTTGTGGAAAATCGGCAAAACTTTTACCTTCAGCATTAAGCATAGTATTAATTTGTGTGTATGCTTTCTTTTGTCCTTCTAATAATCCAAAATGTCGAATATAATCTTCCGACAATGCTACTTTAAAACTTTCCCAGAGTTCTTCAGGATGTAATGGTTGACAATATAATAATATACGTACAAATAATCTACGAAGTTGTCTTGGCATCATCCATCCAACAGCTTCATTCATAACTCGTTTCCATTCATCATCGTCTTCAATCAAACCTAAAGCTAAACATGCTGCTGAAAACGATTGACATACTTCTCCATTTATAGTTCTTAAATCATCGAAACTTGTAGCTCCTTTTACAGTGAGTAATAATAATCGTAAATGAAATAGTTCTATTTGTGTTGGACTAACGGAATACATTCGTCCTATACAATTATAATGACTTTTGCGTTTTACCCAACGCGAAATGTTTCTTCCATTGATTTTCTCTTTTTTAAATAAATAATAACGCGGAATTTCTATATATAAATATTGTCTTGCTTCTTCATCGTGAGAATTTAAATTAAAATAATCAATTAACATAGTAACTTGATTCAAAGCAGTCGTCATTGCTTCTTCAATGGTTTCATTTTCAATTATAACATTTTGTTCATTAGGAAGATGAATTGGCAAACGTACTATAGTATGACTTTTATCTTGCAATTTTTTTTCAAGAATTCGCCAACTGGCTTCTACAGGTCCAACATAACGAGTTTCTATATAATTATGTATTTCATCATGATCAATAATTATATTTTCTGTGATTGGTTCAATTCTTATAGCAGCAACATCGTGACCTTTGTAAATATATTTATACAGATATTTGACCGATTTGATACTTGAAACTATTTCAACATTTATGTGACAATTAAAAATAATTGATAAAATAGGACAATATGGTACTACATAACGATTATCAACTATATATCCACCAGGATATATGGTAGAAGTTCAAAACTTCTACCATTATCTCTTCGACGATAATAAGGATAAGCATCTTCATTCATTCTAGTTTCTTCAAGGTATGATTTTGGATAATGTTTTGAACATTTTCCATTTACTAAACACCAATCACCACAAGGTCCATGAATCATATGTTTCATAACTATGTTATGTAAAATATGATTTTCACATGGATCAGGAATTTCAGCAGAGATGTATTTGTCAACTATTTGTGGAGTTGTTATTTTAAAATTGTATTTTAAAGTAACTAACATGTGAACATGTGGCAAACCGCGTTTTTGAAATTCAATAACATATACAAAGGCTGTTACTTCTCCAAAAAATTTTTGCTTTACAATCAAATCAATCAAATAGTCTTTTTTAATATTAAAAATACGTGCACAAATGTCAGGTCTATCAGAAGCTTGTTGACCATCTAAAAGATTTTCTTCAATTTCGCGCCATTTAGGATTACAAGTCATTGTAATAAAAAGATCTGGTTTATCAAATTTTGCAACAATTGCCATCGCATCTTGATAATTTTGTAACATATTACGCGGA